TCTATAAAATTTTTTCCTATATTTTCATCTAAAAGTTTTAAAGTACTGCTAGATTTATAAAGTTTCTTGTTCCATCTGGAAACGATCTTTGTGTATGGCTCGACATAGGGATCTAAAGATATCTTTTATTCATAATGAAGAGCCAATTGCCTAAACAACATTTATTTATTTTCTAATAGACTAAGTTTTGATATATTGGAGGGTCTTCTTTGGTGGTCTGTGTTCTTTTCCATTGGTCTATTTGACTCTCCTACAAAGACACCATGTGGTTTTAATTAACAACAGATTTATAATAAGTGTTTATGTCTGGTATGACATGTCCTGTACTTTATTTTTCTCCTTTAAAATTATCTTGATTATTCTTGTCCCATATAGTTTTCGGAGTCAGCCAGCCAAATTTTAAAAAGCCATCAGATAAACAAAGGTGCATGTTCACGTCTCCCCTTAGGCACATGTGCTTGACAGGAATCTCATTGAATGTATGGCTTCATTTGGGGAGGCTCGACCGCTTTACCATGCAAGTCCCACCATACCCCTCCATTGTTATAGATCTTTAAAAAATATTCTTCACTCAAACTTTTATTTTTTCATAAAGTTATTATACTTTTCTTGATTTATCCCTACGGAATTTAGAGTTTTATTGGTGTGTGGCAGGTGGGAGGGGGACTCTGGTTGTGTGTGTGGCTGGCGAGAGGACAGAATCAGGAACTCTGTGTGTGTCAGTCAAATGTTGGAGTGACAGTCACCTGGGGTAACCGCCTCAGAGGAAAGCCATCCCAGGGGCACTGACATGAGCTCTGTGCCATTGGGCAGGTCCCTGAACCTTCTGAGCCTCGGTGTTCTCTGGACGTGAAGATCAGTGGTCCCTGTGGCCCACTAGCACGTCCACTAAAATGTTCTGTGGCCAGAATATGCTATTTATTTGGGGAATAAAGAGAGAGAAATATGCTCTGTGCATATTTTATACAGAAGACAATAGCAATAATGCTTCAATTAGTGTGTTGGAGACGCCAGGTTGATTGTAAATGAATTGGAGCTGGGATCTGAGCTTTGCATCATAATTGCACTAAGTCTTCTGAATAGAAATTACTTAATCAAAGTTGTGATTTAGAGAGAAGAGATCGCTAATGTTTTTTGGAATGGAGACGGTTGTTTTATCACCTCTTCATACTCTCTGTTACAAAAGCATGCCAGGTGACCCATCAAGTCAGAAGGCTGCAGGAACTTGCTTCACTGGTGTAGAGGAATGTAACTCTAAAGCTGCCATCTCTGTGCTAAAGGGAAGGGACAATACTGAAAGGACTGCTTGGCTTTGACCAGCATCGCTGACCCTGATGGCTTCAGTGGTGGTGGACGCAGTGAGCCAGGCTGTGTTATCACATTGCGCACACGGTGGTGATAGTGGGTTTCTGCCTCACAGAACTGTCTGGGGTCCCAGTACCAAACGGGGACATGAGGGATCCTCATCCTTCTGGAAGGATCCTCTGGGAGTTCTTCTGCTCTGTTCCGGCCACTTTCCAGACAATGTCCTGGGTTATTGAAGGGTATTGTTGGGTCAGAATCAGTGAATCATCCACTGCCCCTTCGGGTCTTAATCCATTTCCACCAAGTGTCAGAGATGGGAAGGGCCTCACTGTACAGATGGGGAAACTGAGGCCTCGAGAGCAGAAAGGCCAGACCAAGGCCCACGAAGAGTTAGTGACGAGGTAGGACCAGAGCTAGGCCTCTCTCTCTGGCCTCTGGTGCCCTTCGTGAGCCCTACTCAGATCTATCCTCTGCACCCTGCTTTAGGGGTCTGGGGTGGGAGCTACTCCCCCTGCAGCTAGATCTGACTCTGTGGGTGTGACAGCAGGGTGTGTGTGATAGAGAACCTCATTTCCAGCCTGTGGTCCACTCCGAACAAGTGTCCCCCAGCCCTGTGTGCAGGGCCAGTGCTGACTGCTATCCCATGGAACCTGGCAAGCTGGCTGTCCTCAGTGACCAGAGGCTATGGCGCAGCCTCTCACCCTCACCGTCTCTTAGGCACTGTCCAGCCCCAAGGAAGGGGAGGGGCTCCCTCTTGCTGTGTATCCACCCTCTCCCCTTCCAGAAATGACCCTGGGCCAGAGGGCAAGGCCTAGATGGCCTGAGGAGACCAGTCCCCTGGGACCTGGCCAAGGGAGCCAGCACCCTGCCTGGTGGGCCGTTGCTCAGGACAAATCCCAACGGGAAGACTGGTTCCTGCAGAGGTAGATGGTGAGTGAGTCTGGCAGGTGTGTGTGTGTGTGTGTGTGTGGTGGGGGGTGTTAGTGAACACACAAACCACCTTCCCAGCTTCTGGACTTACAGAACATTTGGCTACTGTGAGAAACTTGATCCGATTGTGAGAAGTATTGGAAATCATCATGTAAATTGTGAGATATGTCCAAGTTCTGTGACTAATTACCACTCATTCATCAACAAGATGAAAAGAAAAGTGCAATGTTAGAGCTCGGTTCTATCATCCGGCAGTGAAATGTACTCCACTGTCTCCACCTGCCTGGGCCGTGCTGTCCCTGAGCAAAGGTCTTTACTGATATTTGTGCTGCTACAAAGCTGTGCGCAGCTGCTGTTTAGCAGAATCCATCCCTCCTTTTTCCCATCCCTCCTCTCCCTCTTCTTTATCCCCTCCCTCCCTTCCTTCCTATATTGACTTTTTTAAAAAAATAGAATTGACACAGGCTTACTATGCAAAATTCAAACAAAAGGACATAGAAATTGTAAACCATCCAATTATCCACAATACTGAAATAAGCCATCATCAGCATTACGTGAATCTTCTACCTCTGTATAAACAGAGGTGGAAGAATAGAAAGTTGGCAGATAGAATGGTATACTTATTTGGAAAAGTAAAGATTGATATAGCAATAGCCAGCTGGCTAGTGAGACAAATACATTTGTAGAAAAATGCTGTGGTTAATGCTCAATGACCATCTTAAAAAATGCTGCATATAATATGATGCATGCTACTTTTTGGTTAAACATAATCTTCATTTCCCTTGGGCCTCACAGAAGAAAAAGAAAGCAAAGTGTTCTTCTGCACTGGATGTGACTATGGGGCTCTGAGGCAAGCCTGGCCTCCCCCCACCTGCTGTACGGCTTTTCTCCTGCTCCAGATGCCTGAACCAGCAAGTGCCTTTTCCTCTGTGAAGCTGGGGTAACAAGGGCCCCCTTTCCATTTCCCAGGAAAATGTGTGCTTTTTCCATCTGAAGACCCAGCTCTTTCATTTCAATGATGTTCTCAGTGCATCAACTCTGGGAAAAGCTCTCCATTTCATCTGCTGGGTTCGCTGCACCCAGTTGGTGAGGTCCTGCTGCTAATCATCTTCTCTGTAATTGCTTTGATTTGTTTGGTTTTACCTTTTATCAGTCTTACTGTGATTTTCCCAAACTTTTTCTCCATATTAATAATTTGACTTCCAGCCATGTCTATAGTGTTCTAAATTGATTTACTAGTTGTGTGGTAGTTCTGTATCGATTCTCAGTGAGTCATCGCCATTGTATCTCATTCTGTGATTTCATCAGGAGGTCTCTACTTATCTGTCCTCCCCTCAGAGTTACACTTTCAGGATGAATCATTTCTTCTTTGTACTTTTCTGATGCTGAGGACTTTGGGAATGTGGGTTGGGGTTTGGGGAAGGGCCTTGCTCACCTGTGAGCAGCTTTCTTTGGAAGAATCAGGCTCTGTCCACCTCTTGAAGAATAAGTGTGCTGTTTTGCCATGATGCATCTAGGAGTGGGTGTATCTTTTTTCTCATGCTTGGCACTATGGACACTAAGTCTTCATTCTGTAAAATTCTTGGGCATTAACTCTTTAAATATTGCCTCACCACCTTCCCCTCTGTAGAGCTAGGGCTGGGTTTGGAGCTCACAGACCCCTCAAGCCCATTGTCCAGATTGGGTCACAAACCTTCACACGCAGGTCTATGAGCTAGGTAACTGGGAAAAAAGGTCCTTGGAGCCTTGGCTGAAGAAATAGTAAGCTTTATTCAGCACACACATGTCTGAGAGCTAGGCACCCCAAAAAGAAACTCAAAAACTCAACCGGTACCGGCAAAGTCCAAAGAAAAACCGAGCAGCTGCCAGCAAAGTGAACATGTTCTATTTTTAGACACAAGCTCTCTGCCAACCAGCAGTTCAGGCTGCTGTTCCACAAACTCTGAAGAACACATAGTAGCAACAAACTAAAAAGATACATTGGCACACATGTACACTAACTCCACCCACACACAACTTGTTTACAAGGAATGTGCTGCACCACACCCAACCAGACCTGAGGCAAGAGGGCCTGACTAAACTATTCTATTTTTCCCACAATCCACCCCTTCAGGGTCCCTTGCCATACAATCTACATGTTCAAACTCTTCCACGATGTTCCCTTAGTGAGAATAAATGACCTATAACATTTACATAACCTATTGTCTGTTCAATATGCCTTAAGGCTTGTAGTAGTTCTGTCCTTTAGCCGCACATGTCCAGTTGGTAGTCATCATTGGTGTGATTTTCCATGGGAATCCTGCAGTCATACTGATGGGAAGTTCAATGCATATTCGGTAGGCCGACACACTGATCACACAACTCTGGTGCAGTTCCTGCAACCAGAACACTATGGGCGAAAAGACAGAAGGATTATTGGTACCAATAGTGGGAATTCTCACCCCTCTGGTAAGATACATGCCAGTTTGCCATCCTGAGAAAGGATGGTTGCAGGAATAGGTATCTTACCTGGTTTGGGGCCCCACAAGGCCATACAAACAGAAAACCAGTAACTCTCTGACTTTGGCAGTGGTCCCAGAAGATCCACCTGCCACTGTGTCAGGGGCACTCTCACATGAGTTATCTGCCCATCAGGGGCATTTTTTCTTGGGTTTATGCAGCACCCGGTGAGCCATCGACCACCCAGTCTTGCAGCCAGCATGCTGCATTCTCCAATGTAGCCACCCAGCTACATCAGCTGCTGGAGCTCTCTCCAGCCATCTCACCTTATCCAGCGCATCAGCTTCATCATTGCCAATTCAACATGAGGCCTCTGGTCCTCGCCTGCCCCCAAAAGATGAGTATCTTGGCCTGTTCCCTATTCTAAATGGAACATTTCATCTGCCTCCTCAGGAGCAACCAAAAAATCTTTTAAATCCACTGAGCATACCTTGCTACCTGTTTCCAGACGTTTGGTGAAATGCTGTTCAGTGCACAATTGCTGCCACAAGGCAGACAGGACTGCATTTGGCTGCCAGTCAATTTTCTTGCTATCAACCCCTGCTGCAAGTCAAGCCACATCTGCTTACGGATAGTCTTGCTTGGTCGCTTTGGGATAAAATCCTGAGCTTTTCTTAGGGGTTTGGTCTTAGCCACCTTTTGGACCCCTTTTGCTTGTCTGCTATCCTCTACTTCGCCCAGGCTGGCTGTCATGGTTGTTACCTCATGTATAGGATGACCCATGTATGGGGCCAGTATAGCCATCAGCAACCCAAAGAATGTTGACAGGGCATTTTGCAGCACTATGTCTCTCATGCTGTCTGTAAAATTTTCTTCGTCTGGGCCACAGTGTTCACATTAAACAGGAACTGCTGCATCCCCTGCTCTGGAATTATTTGAGTCAACTCAGCATATGTTTGCCATTTATTAACAATCTTGGGCAGTTCTCCAGCATTCACCCACATGGTTCGGGCAGCTGCATTCACACACTCCGTTAAGGAGTGATTACCTGGTCCTGGTGCATATCTATGGCTATTCTGTAGCCTCTGCCTCAGGGATGGGTGCACGGTGATGGAGGCCAATTTTTCCATCTCCTCACCAGAGCACATCACACTATCCACCTCTAGGTCCCATAACTGCAACAGCCAAGCAGCCAGGGGCTCCCCCTATTTCTGCCAAAACTCTTCTCAAGTCCACTAATTCAACCTGGGTATACAAGACATAGATGGTGAATTGGGTCACCTGTGAATTGCCCACTGGTTGTCCACCTGGTCCCACAGGCTGCTCGCATTTCACTTTTTGATGCACAACAAGTCATGCCTGGAGACACACGGTCTCCCCCAACTCACCACTGGGTTCATCATCTTCCATGATGTGAGAGGCAGGAGTGGCCAGTCTCTGCATGTCATCCTTCAGGACATTGATCCATGTTCCCAACAACTCTGATTTCTGCTGCAAATCTTGATCAGCACTGGATTTGTCATCTTCCCTGGTGTGAGAAGCAGGAATGGCCAGTCACTTCATGTCATCCTCCAGGACAATTATCTGTGCTTCCAACAACTCTGCTTTCTTCTTCAAAACCTGATCAGTTTGCAGCATAGTGATCAGTAGCCAGACTCCGGTCAGCAGAAAAGTGGCCACTGGGCACCACAAGCCCAAGGACAGCCACACCTCCTCTCCCTCCTAAGGGGCTCTCTGCTGTAGTGCCTGGTCTATGCTGCCTTGCAGTACAGTGAGCAGCAACCAGATTCCGGGTCAGCAGGAAAGTGGCTACAGGGCACAACATATTCAAAAGTAGCCACATTTCCTCCTTCTTGCAAGAGCTTTTGGCTCCTGTACCTGCTCAGAATCCTGCTCTAACTATGCCAATTGTAGAGCTTGGGCTCGGTTTGGAGCTCACAGACCCCTCAAGCCCAGTTTTCAGACTGGGTTGCAAACCCTTCACATGCAGGTCTATGAGCTAGGTAGCAGGAAAAAAAGGTCCTTGGAGCCTTGGTTGAAGAAATAGTAAGCTTTATTTAGTACACACACATCTAAGAGCTAGGCAGTTCAAAAAGAAACTCAAAAACTCAACTGCTACCGGCAAAGTCCAAAGAAAAACTGAGCAGCTGCCAGCAAAGTAAACATGTTCTGTTTTTACATGCAAGCTCTCTGTGGACCAGCAGTTCAGTCTGTGCTCCACAAACTCTGAAGAATGCACAATAGCAACAAACTAAAAAGATACATTGGCATGCATGTGCACTAACTCCACCCACACACAACGTGTTTACAAAGAATGTGCTGAACCACCTCCAACTGGACCTGAGGAGAAGGGGCCTGACTAAACTATTCTACTTTCTGCACACCCTCTATCCTTCTATCTTTTTATCCAACAACTGTGATCAACTTATTTTGGAGCCTAATGTCATATATACTGTATTTCAAGATATAGAAAAATGTAGGGAATAATATAAAGCACATTTATGCTCCCATCTTCCATTTAAATGTATATTAATATTTTTAAAGTTTGGTGCAAATTTTTTTTTTTTGTCCTTTTCGAGACCAGCCGCACCGCGCTCAGCCAGTGAGTGCTGTCAGTGCACCAGTCATCCCTATATAGGATCTGAACCCACGGCAGGAGTGCTGCTGTGCTCCCAGCGCCACACTCTCCCGAGTGTGCCACGGGCTCGGCCCTTGTTGCAAATTTTTACAGAGAAACACATTTTTTTTTTCCTTTTTGTCTTTTTTACTGACCGGCAATGGGATCGCAACCCTCAGTGTTGTGCCCACACCGCGCTCAGCCAGTGAGCGGGAACTGGTCTCCACGTGGGATCCGAACCCTCGGCGGGAGCGCTGCCGCGCTCCCAAGTGGCGCACTCTCCAGTGCGCCACCAGGCCGGCCCAGAGAAACACATTTTTACTATTACAGCAGAAGACCCTGGTGCATCCCCATGCCACTGTCCTGAATTAGTGTTTATTATTTCCAGGCATTTAATTATTATTCTTATACAATAATTCATATATAAAAAATGTATAGAAAATAACATAATGACACAAACAGCCATGTGCCCATATCCCTGCTTAATTAATGACATAGGGAAATACTAGTGCAGCCCTGGGCACCGCATTGCTCCACCTTCTGTTCCTGGCTCACCACCATTCTTACTTTGGTGTCTATCATTCCTATGAATGTCATATTATTACTATATATATTGTATCCCTAAACTGCAGTAGTTTGGTTTACTATGCCTTTAAACTTTATATAAATAGCAGTGTACTGTGTGTATTTTTCTGAAATATGCATTTTTTATGTAGCTAAATATAATTCTAGTGTATTCATTTTAATTTCAGTATTGTATTTATTGACCCATTTTTCTGTTGATGTGCATTTAGGTGATACTCCAATTTGTAAAATGTTTATTTCTCCAGTTTCCCATGTGAGGGTTTCTCTGTGGTACATACCTAGGAGTGAAATTGGTGGGTTGAAGTACATTTTACTAAGTGATGTCATATTGTTCTCCAGGGTGATTATACATTTAGTCTTTTTTTTTTTTTTTTTGTCTTTTTGTCTTTTTTACTGACCGGTAAGGGGATCGCAACCCTTGGTGTTGTGCCCGCACCGCACTCAGCCAGTGAGCGGGAACCGGTCTCCACATGGGATCCGAACCCTCAGCGGGAGCGCCGCCGCGCTCTCAAGCGGCGCACTCTCCAGTGCACCACCGGGCCGGCCCTACATTTAGTCTTAAAGTACCATTAGGGGGCCGGCCCGGTGGCGCACTGCTACAGTGCGCCACTTGGGAGTGCAGCGGCGCTCCCGCCGAGGGTTTGGATCCCACATACAGACCGGCTGCTCACTGGCTGAGCGAGGTGCGGGTGCAACACCGAGGGTTGCGATCCCGTTGCCGGTCCCGGTCCGATACGGGCACGACACTGAGGGTTGCGATCCGTTGCCGGTCACGAAAAAAGACAAAAAGGTAAAAAGAAAAAAAAGTACCATTAGGACCTCATTGAATGGTACACTTCAAATGGGATAGCTTATTGTGCATACACTATAATTCAATAAAGTTCATCAAATTAAAAAAATAGCAATGAGTAACACTGTTTTTCTGTATCCTCATCAATATTTGGTAGGATTGGACCTATTATTTTTACACACAAGCTCTCTGTGGACCAGCAGTTTTTTCTTTGCTTAAAGGGAAATTTATTTAATGTAAATGTGTACATTAATAAAAAAGAAAGATCTCAAATCAACAATCACCTTTGCACATTAAGAATCTAGAAAATGAAGAGCAAAATAAGCCATGACCTAGCAAAGGAAGTATTTACTTTAATAAAAGTTAGAACATAGATAAAAGAAATAGAAAATAGAAAATAAAATAGAGAAAATCAATGAAACCAAAAGTTGGTACTTTGATGAGATTCACAAAATTGACAAACTTTTACCTAGATGGACTAAGAAAAGAGAGAGAAGACTCCAATAACTAAAATCAGAAATGAAAAGAGGGGTCATTACAACCAAATTTACAGAAATCAAAAGGGACATAAGAGAATACTATGAATAATTGTTGGTCAACAAATTAGATCATCTAGATGAAATGAATAAATTCCTAGAAACACACGACCTATGAAGACTAAATTATGAAAATGCCAGAAAGTTTGAACAGAACTACAGCTAGTAAGATAAGTGATTATCATTTTTCAGATTCCTGATGCAGGACTCCCTTGAGGATTTCTTGTAGGACTGGTCATGTGGTGCTGAACTCCCACAGTTTTTGTTTGTCTGGAAAATACACTATATCTCCCTCATTTCTGAAGGATAGCCTTGCTGGGTATAGTATTCTTGGCTGGCATTTTTTTTCTCTTAGTATTTTGAATATATCACCCCATTTTCTTCTTATCCTTAGAGTTTCTCTTGGGAAGTCTGCTATTAGTCTGATAGGGGTTCTCTTATAAGTTACTTGATGCTTTTCTCTTGCTTCCTTTAAGATTCTTTCTGTCTTGGAGCTTCACCAATTTGATTATAATGTTTCTTGGAGAGGATCTTTTTGGGTGGAATCTTTTTGGTGATCTTTGGGCCTCCTGGATCTGAATGTCTGTGTCTCTCCCTAAACATGGGAAATTTTCCATTATTATTTCATTGAATAGGTTTTCCATACCTTTTCCTTTCTCCTCCGCTCTGGAACATCCATGATTTAAATGTTTGTGTGCTTAAGGTTGTCTGCTCTCTCTGTTAGATTTTCTTCATTTTTTAAGATTCTTTTTTGCTTTTTTTTTGTCCATCTGGGTTATTTTGAAAGGCTATTTTCTTTCTTTCTTTTTTTTTTTTCCTTT